AGCGTCGCCAATGCGTATACACATGAAGACAGAATTATTAAATTCCTCCTGGGCTTTTCTATGATGCTCATCATTGTACTGTACAAATGCTTCAGAATTAATTCAGTCCGTTTCACTCTAACCTAAAGTAAGGAAGTACTATTACTCTCATTCTGCAGGCATGAGACTGAGGCGCAGAGAGTTTTAGTTAAAATATATCCTAATTTTTTATACCTGATTCAAGACACTTAGGATCTGTTCTTCAGGTCCAACTCATGTCTCCCCTGTTTTTAAATCAAACACCTTTCTCCTTTACATTGCCTGGGCCCAGCATGGCAGTCATTTAGAGTACAAGAAAGAGAGACTCCTTATTCTCGGTTCTCATTCCTGTACCCGGCTTCAGTATGGTCTAGAAAAGTGATTGCATGGATATTCTACTCAGTGGCTGCATCTACACGAGATCCTGACTGCGTAATCATTACTGCACAGTCATTTAGTACTTGTGTATACTACGGCTTTTAAGTGACGGTGACTACACAGTACCCTGTTACTACTGCACAGTAGCATCATATCACACTTCCTGCCATGCAACGGTACTGTACAGTAGTAGTGAGCTACTGTGCAGTCAGTGTCTTGTGTAGACGCTGCCAATATCCTGCAGCTTCCTGCCTAGTATGGGTGGAGCCTTTAGGAATATCAGATGCATTGCTTTAGCAAGTTTCTCTGGAGCACAAACAAAGGGCAATTTGCCAAAAAATTATTATTTAGTTAAACTGAAGCAGATTTTTAAGGAAAACAAAAACACTTAAAATATGTGTCACAAAGACCACCCTCCTGACTAATTTCAGTTCCCTGATTCAGACCATGACAACACTAAAAGTGCTCAAAATTATGGCCACAGAACTTTTAATATGGACAAAACAATGTATTCTCATTCTCAAGAGAAGAAAAACACACAAGGAAGTCACCATGAAGCAGATGCACAGCATAGAAAATTTCAACCCAATTTCTTACATTTTGGTAACATGAATAAGCAGCTGAAAACAGGGTTTTAGATTAAAAGCCTTGGGCAACCTTAATAACTAGCATTGCAACTAACTCCACTTATAAAAGGTACTAATAATATGGAGAGATTGAAAAGAAATTGTCATGATATACAGCCTATTTTTTTTTAAATACCAGGATCAAATGAATTGTTGAATATTCTTGCAAGGCGTGTGATGGAGACCAGGTCGCTTTGTATGTTTAAAACCAGAAGGGTTAAAGGTCTAGAAATTAGAACGTAAAGATCAACCCAGAAGTATCAAGGGGATGGAATCGAAACCTACAGATTTTTCTTTATGTGTAATTTCTGAGATGGAGTGATTCCTCATCTCAGCTATGTTACCTTTCCACCTCTCAACCACCTCTCAGTGGTTATTTTGTTGAGAGAGCTGGAAAAAGGCTTTCAAAGCCCTGAGATTCGTAATGAATTTCTGAGGCTCTGTAAACCCAATGCAATAAATGAATATTGCCAAAATTCTCAATGCCATATGGAAGTGAAGAAAGATTGTTCACTAATAGGTGCAATATATTCATAATTGCTTAAAATAATGATGTAGACTGTTTTCATAGAAGGACCAAAAAACCCCCAATGAACAGACTTTAAGTAGTTGTGGACTTTCCCAACAGCATCTAGAAATATTTACGCAATCCTTGGTATTCAGATACAATTCATTATCTTGTCTCCTTCTTTTAGGTTTCATTCAATATTTCCCTTGCTGTATGGTGGACACCACACATTTTCCAGGCCGACAGTGGTGGAATCTGAGGAAAACCTGCTATAGGATTATTGAACATCCTTGGTTTGAATCCTTTATCATCTTCATGATTCTGCTGAGCAGTGGAGCCCTGGTAAATTCAACTTGATCTCATGTCAGATTGAATTATAATATTAGCTTTTTAATACCAAAGCCAGGGATTTTCAAGAAGGCATGTCAAGGGAGGATGAGGACCAACGGACACAAGCTTATAGAGGGTAAATTCAGGCTAGATATAAGGAAGAACTTCTTCTCTGTAAGGGTCGCCAGAATCTGGAACGCACTCCTGGCAAAGGCAGTGCAGTCACCATCCTCAGAGGGGCTCAAGAGGAGGCTGGACAGGAACCTTGTTGAGTTTGTCTGAGCCCAATAACTTCCTGCCTATCGTACGGGACCGGACTCGATGAAGGTCCCTTCTGGTTCTACGATTCTTTGATTTCTAGCTCAAAGGAAGGAAAGTATTCTCAAATTTGTTGAGAGCAGAGGGGAAAAAATGACTTAGTAAAGGCCTAACTGATCATCATCATTACTATCAATTACGTGACAAAATATGTAACTCTAACAAGCTGTCACACCCTCCCTTTAGGTTTTAGATTTTTTTTTTGAGCTTTCTGTCAGATTATTTCATGTGTATAATATCTTTATGTGCATCATTAAACTTCCTCCTTGATATATTTCAGGGGTATGTGTTGTAGCCACATTGGTCTGCAAATTATAGACAAGCAAAACCCATGGATTAGAGGCAATATCTTTTATTAGACCAACTAAATAGTAGCAAAAAAACCTATTTCTTTGCATGCTTTTCGGTCCAAACACCCTCTCCGGGCTGAGGAGAATTCAAAGATTGTAAAAAGTCTCCCAGGTAGAAAACAAACTTTGTTTTGCACAGGGGATGGAGAGGTTGGAAGTTTTTTTCCCCCTGGGGTTTTTTGTGGGGTTTTTTGCTACTATTTAGTTGGTCTAATAAAAGAGATCACCTATAACCTAAGAGTTTTGTTTGTCTATAATTCTTTGACCAACACGGCTACACCATATATCCCTGAAATATGGAAGATATTGTATTTTAGCCATTTGGAAATGTCAACTTAATTTCTAGCGAGGAAAGATGTTTTTCACCTCCCTGACTGACTCCAGGGTCCCTTCAGGCCAGGGTGGGGGTTTAAGCCCCTCCCCCGTCATACTTGGCAGCCTGTCCCTAGCCCAGATGTACTGCTTTTCCAACTCGGAAATCTGCTTCTAAATATCCTGATTGTTCTGCAGTTTTTTGTCTCCTTGGAAGAAATTTGTCACCATGCTCAGGTTTGTGGCTACAACTTCAGTGCCACATGGTTTTGAGAACCTGTATTTGCCCACTACAAACTATGGTACTGAGACTATACCTTTATCTATGAAATGGCCATACCTGATATCCTTGCAGCTGTGATAACTGTAGGATTAACTGCTGCAGATATAGGACTTGAGAAGACATAAGCAGTACCAAGGCTGGCATTTCCACTACCCATCTTTACTATCTTTGCATCTTCTATTCTCTTATCAATCTTACTTCTCTTTGCAACTTCTGTTCTCTTAAATCAATCTTATTTTCTGGGGCAAATAGATTCTAGGCCACGAAATAGAGTTTTAATGAAGAAAGGTGGCTGTACCTATGGAGCAAGGATTAGTTTCATGTATAATCATAGTTTTTGATCCTTCCACCATGCCTAATGTATCATTTTCATTATTATCACCTTCACTGCTCACAGATGTAAAGTTACATTCATGCATAACTATTTGCAGAATCTCATCCCTAATACAAAGATGCATATGTCTTTGATCCCAACATAACATTAAATATTTCAGTGAAATTTGCTCCAGTGGTTTTATATCTAAACTTTTTATTCCAGGTTTTTGAAGATGTTCATCTTTCAGAGCGACCACGTATTAAAATAATGTTGGAATTTCTTGACAAAATGTTTACCTTCATCTTTGTCCTGGAGATGCTTCTGAAATGGGTGGCTTATGGCTTCAAGCAGTACTTCACCAATGCCTGGTGCTGGCTTGATTTTCTCATTGTAGATGTAAGTTTTGCTTTTGAACACAAACAAAATGTTCTCTGTCTTTTAAATGCCAAATTTGAGACATCCTGAAGGGGGATTCATTTTTTATCCAAAAGCAGAAAAATCAAGGCCCCTCTGTAAATCAAGTCCTTTCACAGTGTCATAATTTGGGTACTTTAGGTTATTATTCAGTTTGGTCAAATGTTCATCACAACATTTCTTTAGCTTTATTAATCAAGGGTAAGGGTAGTAATGGAGGTAATTAAATTTGCTATGTTAAATAAATGTATGAAGTTATGACATGACTAGCATCACTGGGTATTTTACTATTAATTTTGGGCGGGCCCAGAATTTACCTGTTATTTTCTACATATAAACTGTATTTCTGCTTTTGACCTACAGACCTCCTGTGCGTTGGTTCACACTTTCACTGGCAGGATTTTTTAACAAAAAAAAGAGAGAAAAAGTGAGAGAGAGAGAGAGAGAGAGAGAGAGAGAGAAAGATGACTGGCTTCTACTAATATTTTGTCTTTTGCTTTGCATCCCTGTTTAGGTCTCTTTAGCAAGCCTTATAGCAAATTTACTTGGCTACTCTGAAGTTGGTCCTATGAAATCTCTTAGGACTCTCCGAGCTTTGAGACCATTGCGAGCACTGTCAAGATTTGAAGGGATGAGGGTAAGAGTAAATGCAATCATCAAAACCTCCTATGTGATCATGTAAAAGGGCAAGGACTCAGACAGAATGGTCAGAGGTTAAGAATCACCCCTTGAAACAACCCATCTTTGCCCATATTTTTGCTCCTTATCTTAGAATATTAGTTATACATCACAGTGTTTGTTTGTTGAGCATTGGCTGCCTGTAACAATGACAGCAAATTTCTGTGCCAATGTGAACATGCTACATAGTAGCTCCATGGCACGCCCTCTGTGGTGCAAATCAGGGGTAAGGGGGGCTGAGAGACTCCCACAGATATGCCAGAAGGAAAGCATGTCCCATCTGCCTCACATTATCATCACATTACTCATTATCAGTAAACTCTGAAATGAGTGCCGCAGATAGGGGGAACGGGACCTGGGGGCGAGGAAGAGCTAGGGTCTTGAAGCCAGATGCTTGCCACTCTTGCTGTGCCAGGATGGCTTCAGGGGGGTCCTTCTACAGGGAGACCAGACAGAGGGGTCCTGCAGATGAGCTTTCTTTGAAATGAAAGGGGCTGATCCCTGACAGTGCACCAAGACCAATGCTTATCATGTTGACAAATATTATCTGGGTTTTTTGTATTGGCCCATTTCCTGTATCTTTGAGTGGTCTCTTGTTGCATGCTTACATTGTAAGTTCTCTGGGGAAGGAACAGTCGTCCACTTCCATACTAGTATCATACCCTTGTCATTACGTAAATGCAATAAATAATAATAATGATACTAGCCTACCAACCAGGGAGTCATGGGTCCTCTAATAACAAATTTTCCATGCTACTTTTACAAAAATGATACTCTGAATTAGTTCTCTTGGAGAAAGGTAGTAATGGCAAGTATAAACAAAGAACAAAACTAGAAATATCATCTTCCGATTATAATTACTTTGTTGATGCTTAATGGTGTCACAAAACATTTGAGGTATTTCACAGGGTAAAGAGATTTATTGTTCCAAAGAGGTTACAGTCTAAGGGCATGTGTAGACTAAGTGGGGGTTTATTTCACCTTAAATTGAAGTGGTAAGCTGCGAGCAGGAGGAGCAGTCCCTGGGCTGCAGGGGATGGGGAGGAGCTGGTGCTTCCCTCCATGGAAGTGGCAGTCTCCGCCCCCCAGCCGGCACCCACCTGCAGGCACCTGACTTGGGCAGTGATGGGGACACGGCAGCTGCAGAGGGAAGTACCGGGCCTCACAACTCATGCAGGCAGGCAGGCTCCAAGGGGAAAAAAAAATCAGGCTTGTTTCTTTTTTTTTTCCTTCAGTGGAGCCTGCCTTTCGGGGCTGCTGCCAGGCTGCCTGCGTGGGCTGCCTGCACGGCCCCTGAGTCGCACGGAGCCCAGTGCTTTGCTTCACAGCTGTGGGGCAGCCTACTAAAACTCCTCACAGGTGTTTTATTTTCCTGCACCCCAGAGTCATTTAAGGCGCATTATGCCACCGAAAGTGCTACAGCAGCTGGAATTAATGTGCAGCACACCGCTGACACGTGCAAACACCAGTGCCATTAAAGCGGTGCAAAAGTATTTAACCCATTTTAAAGTGTTGTGCACACATGCCCCTCGTTTCATCTACACATGGCCTAAGAGAAAACGCTGCATGTGGAAAAGTTTTCTCAGGCCAGCAGTGACTATTGACTTTGGCAGAGAGTATTCACAGGAATCAAATTACTTGCATGTGTAACTGTTTGCAGAAATGACAAGCAATTGCTCAGTTCCACAAAACAGTTCAATGTCGCAAAGCGCTATTCGTTGTGTATGGCCATGTTCTCACATGAGTACCCGTATTTGTTTTCTTTAATGTCCCTTAAGGTGGTTGTGAATGCCCTGGTGGGTGCCATCCCGTCCATCATGAACGTTCTGCTCGTCTGCCTCATTTTCTGGCTTATTTTCAGTATCATGGGTGTGAACCTGTTTGCAGGAAAGTTTCAAAAATGTGTTAACTTGACAGAAGAAGATTCAGAATTAAGTCATCTTATTGAGAATAAAAACCATTGTCAAAGCCTAAATGACACAAAAAAGATATACTGGGTCAATGCTAAGGTCAACTTTGATAATGTTGGTTCTGGTTACCTAGCACTTCTTCAGGTGGTAAGTTCAATTTTCTTTTGCTTGCTGGCATGCTGCAGGGTGTCATAAATGTTCTGCCTACTTCTCACCCACCTCTGTTGGTGGCAGGAAATCATGGCCTTACAGATCACCTTTCTTTCCTCTCCCCATCTCATGCTTACACTCACAATGTGCCAAGTTCCTGCAGAAAAAAAGTAATAGGTGTCCTCTTACCGCCCCTCTCCCCATCTGCAGCATGAGCACCATGTCGATCCTAATGGTTAGCTGCAAATTAGGGCGGTAACCATTTAATCGTGTGCTATTTGGACCTTCGCTTATATGCTGGGAAAGTGACGTATTTATTTTAATTTCATGAGACTGGAAGCAGAATTCTCTCCCCTGAATAAATCTCAGTGCAGAGATTTTTGTTCCAACTCTGATTCTTGGGCTCAGCCCTTGCCCCACCACCTTTTAAAGCTAATTGTTGAGAACGTTTGTTCTGCCACTGAATTGAGGGTCTTTCCTGGACCATAGACACATGAACAAAATCTGTAGCATAACATCACTGAAAGATAACTCCACAATGCCCCAGCCTACCTACTGCACTGAAAGGAGGTGTGGGGGTAGAGGCATAGGTAGATGTGGCCCCAATGCATCCGCTGGGAGTTCCCCTACCAAAGAGAAATGTGGGTAGAAAACATTACGAAGGAAACAGAAGACCAGAACACGACTTTCTAACACGGACAAAGAATGTCAGCAATGGAGAAGCGTCATAAGTGTGCCATTTTGATGCTGCTCTGCAACCTTGGGGGTTATGGGGAACTGACTGATTGGTCTCTGTGGCAGGCCTACAGTTCCTTCATACTCATAAAAACTTAAAGTAGTACTGCATGTTCTCTTGTATCACATAACTCCAAATAAGATAGGCATCTTGTTTTGGAAAGACAGAGACTGAGAGCCTACCCTCCACGTCATTCACAGTTCTAAGGGAAAAATGTGAGCCTTCTGCAAATAAATACAGTTGATGGGATGTAGAATCTTATGCTAAATGTTAAATATGGTTTCTTTAATTTCTTTTAGGCAACATTTAAGGGCTGGATGGACATTATGTATGCAGCCGTTGATTCACGAGAGGTAGGGCTCTACGTTTACAGTGTGCTTTTTTGGCTCTGCCTCTCCAGTTTTTTGCTGTGTTTTGTAATCTTCATACTAACTGTTTGAAATACTGGGTAGCTTGCCCTATACATTGCTTGCCAGTGCTGTCTGCTCAAGATCAAGGTCTCCAATTTCAGGATATAAGAGAATATAAGAAATACACGTGGCTAAGTGAACCTATGGCCTCACTCACAGTAACAGAGAGTGGATGCTAAGGCAAAAAGTATTCATGCAGGGCCTATCTGGACTGATTTGTCCCCTGCCCATCTTCCCACACTGCTTCCAGGTTTCAGAGGCCTTGAAGTCCTGATTTGGCAGTTGCACCCTACTGTCATGTTTAATACCCACTGCTGGACTTATTCTGCCTAAATTTATCCATTGCTTTTTTGATCCTCGTTAAATTGTTAGTCTGCACAATGTCATAATGCAGGGATCAGCAACATACAACCTAAGGGCCAGATCCAGCCTGCAGAGCCACTGGATCCAGCCTGGGGAGCTGGAAGGCTTTGCCTGTGCCTGGTCCTGTGGCACAGCTCCCCACTCTTACCCCTCCTCCCAACTCCCCCTCCCCGCTCACTGCTTCAGCTTCCTACTATGCCCATGCTGCAGGTGTGAGTGGGGGAGGAAGCGGAGAGAAACAGCCACAGCATGGACACAGCTTCCACCTTCTGATGCAAACAATTCACTCATGAATGATATGCAGTATAATGCAGATCAGTTGCAACAGTAAATGCTTTACAGGGAAATAACTTTATGTCCAGCTAAAAGCTTAAATGTTTAAAACTGGGGACAATCAATGATTGAACTAAACAACCATTTACAATAAATTGCCAGACCTGTTTACTGTTTATGTTATTATAGTGCCCAGGGTTCCCAATCCGGATCAGGTCCCCATGGTGTTAGGTGCTGTACAAAAGGAACACACACAGTCCTGGGTCCCAAAAAAAACTTAAAGTCAAAAGGATTACTAACAAGAAAGTAAATAAACTCAGAAATGACATAGAAGAATATACTCACACTGTTTAAAGCTTTCTATTTCCTACCACCAACAGTAATATACAGTAATATATGGTAGGGCTATGTGAAGCTTCAGTTACTGATTCGATTTGGCCCGATTCAGTGGCTGAATCTCCGAATCCTTTCGGTGACTGATTTGGTGGTCAAATCTCTGAATCAGGAGACCCTTTAATTTCTCTGAATTGAATCAGAAACCCCCCTGACACAGAAATTTTTTTTACATACCTCGAGGTACCAGGTGGCTCATGAATGCTGAGATGGTGGGGCAGATGGAGCATCTCGCAGGAGTGCAGGGGGGTCCACAGTGTGCTCAGCAGCAGACCCAGAAGTGACCCAGAACTACTTCCGGTCCACTTCCAGGTCTGCCGCCGAGCACACGGGGCCCCCCTGCACTCCTGTGGGATATTCCATCTGCCCCACCATTGCAGTGATCACGAGTCACGCTTGGTACCTGGAGGTATGTAGAAAAAACATTTAAAGCTGCATCTATGGCCAAATCTCCGATTCTCCAAATCACCATCGAATCTTCAGATTCTGATTTGGCTGAATTAAATCAAGACAGTGATCCAAATCAACTAATTGAATCATTGTCCCCGATCCGGGCTGAATCTGAATTGAATACGGCCCATTTTGCACACCTCTAACATACAGTATATCCCATACCTTTCATTCAGGTGCTGTGCAACCCTTAGTTCTTGGTGGGTTGCCAAATTTAGGATTACCACATGTATTACCTGCTCAGATGCTTGCTGTGACTTTTACTTCAAAGGATTCTGCTTCTCAGATGAGCTGGAGCTCATACCAATGTATCTTGAGCAAGACTAAAGATGTCATCCTCCTGCCCTAGTCAGCCTTGGTGACACCACAGCTGGAGTACTGTATCCAGTTCTGGGTGCTGCACTTCAGGAAGGGTGTGGAGAAGCTTGCAAGAGTCCAAAGGAGAGTCACATGCATGATTAGAGGTCTGGAGAGCAGGTCATACAAGGAGAGGCTAAAAGACTTGGGACTGTCCGGCCTGGAGAAGAGAAGACTCAGAGGGGACTTGGTGGCAGCCTATAAGTATATCAGGGCATACATCAGGGCCTGGGAAAGCATCTGTTCACCAAGGCCCCTCAGGGAAAGACAAGAAAAAATGGGCACAAACTGATTGAAGATCAATTCAGATTGGACGTAAGGAAAAACTTCTTTACAGGTCAAGTGCCAAGGGTCTGGAACAGACTCCCCCCAGAGGTGGTACAGTCACACACCATGGTGATCTTCAAAAAGCATCTTGACGCCCACTTTGCTGGGGTCAGATGACCCCAGCGGTCTTTCCTGCCCAAGTGCAGGGGAGCTGGACCTGATGATCTTGTAAGGTCCCTTCCAGCCCCTAACAACTATGAATCTATGAATCAATAGTCCTGCCAAGATGATTCGAGACCTGATGTATTGAAATAAAAGCCACAGCAAACAGTCAGAGCAGCTCAGCAGTCCAGTGCATCTATTTGCTGCAGCCCTGTATACCTCTGGATTTTTCACAAGCCTTCGTCTTCATAGACAGGTACAGAATCTAATTTTAGGAAGAATTTGGATTCTGTTATAATGGCATTTTCCCCAATGCCATTGATTAAAAGAAAATATCAAGGCTGAGATTCTTAAAAGCAGGAGCTGGATTTTATGTTCCAAAAGAAATTGTCTGATTTGCTAATGCTGAGCACTGAACACTCCCATTGATCTTAGTGGAAGCTGCTAATTGTTCAACACTTCTGAAAACTGTGCCAGTGAGATGACTTCATTGAGACCTGAATCACAATAAAAATTCCTATTGACTTGAGTGGGACTTGGATCAGCCACAGAGCCACAATGGATGTTATTTTTTTAAACAGCTGCTTAAAAGAGAAAATCTTGAGTGCTTTTTAAAAAAAGAAATACATGTGCAAAATAAAAGTAAACTAACTCATCTTTCTATCTTATTTCTTTGTGTACAGTTAGTGGATTGGGAAACTTTGCCCTTCATTTTTTTCATACAAATAACGATAATGCCAAATTATTATAACTTGTTCTGCCCAATGACCAGACTGTACCATAGCATATATGGTAAAGAAAATCAAAATAACAAACAAGAGCAGCAATACTACTCTCAGACATTGGGCTAATACTCTGGGCAATTACGTCTGCAACAGAATATTTAGAGTATTATTTGCAGAACATATTTTCAGTTTCAGGAAAGATAATTGTGGTCTGCAAAAAACATTGTCTCCAGTTACATTATCATCTGCAGTGCCATTGAATTTCCAAGTAGTCATGCTACAAAGTTTGTTCCCTCCTCTTTCTTACTGCTTAAAATGTAGGACTTCTTGTATCCTGCAGACAGATTTCAGCTAGAGAGATTTTTCAGCATTTGCAATGACTTAACAAATTTCTGATCCTTCAAGGAGTTCTGTGTGGGAGGACCCTGCTTCCATACAGAACTCAGGTCAGGATTGGCACCATATTCTTTTCATTTTCCTTTTGTTTTAGGAATCAGAACAGCCAAAAATGGAGTCCAGTCGCTTTATGTACCTCTATTTTGTGATTTTCATCATCTTCGGGTCTTTCTTCACACTGAATCTCTTTGTTGGGGTTATTATTGACAACTTTAATGAGCAAAAGAAAAAGATAAGTATCTTGGATATCTCCAGGTCCTTAATGTCTTGTTTTTATTCATTCTTACAGACAGTGGCAATGTGGAGGGGGTGTATGGGGGTGCACGTGCACCCCCTGACAGACTGTTCTCCCTGCTTAGGTGACAGGAAGGGGGGGAGGCAGGTGGGAGCGCTGGTACCCACCCCACCATGAGCGCTGGCCAGGGAGTGGGAAGCACCGCGACCACTTCCAGGAGCACCGTGGCCGCTTCCCGGTTGGTGTGATCTGCTGTGGGGGACCCCCACCTCTGTCGGCAAGATTAGCTGTGGGGTACCCCCCTCCCAGTTGCTGACTGGTTGCTGGGGGGGCACGTGCCCCCCCCAATAAGGTGGCACCAGTTGCACCCATGCTTACAGAATACATAATGCCAGCTCTATACCGAAGCCCCTAAGATCTATTTGTATTTATTATTATGGCAAAAACAAACTTACCAGAAGCAAAATAAATATAAATATGACAGGGTGTCCATGTGGGCAAAAAAACTCTGTTGGGGTGTAGCATATTTTAGGGAACTATGGCACAAGGCTAAGATGTAGGAGACCGGTCTTCTGTCGCTGTGGAATCTGTCAGTGGAAGTGCTCCAGTGCTGGTTTGGTGAATGTTTGTTTGGGATAGTTTAGGTAGAACTGATCCTCTCTTGAGCAGCCATTGGGTTAGATGAGATATCAAGGACCCTTTGTAACAGAGAACAGGGTGTTCTTTTACTCTCAGGGGCTTGAGCAGCAGCAGCAGCAAGGCAGTCCCCAGCTGCTTGCAGTGCCAATAAGGCAGGGCTGCCTGATTAGGAGCAGGGCCCATCTGTCTTCTATAAGAGCTGGGCTCTGAACTGCAGAGGGAGCAGCAGTATGCTGCTAGCCAGTCAGAGAGCACCACCTGGCTGGAGTTGCTGCTCACAACATCTTGGAGGTAAGGGCTGGGGTTATGGCAAAGGAGGAGGCCCCATGGTCCTGGGTTTGACTGAAAACTGCACCCTGCTGGGGAAGGATGGCCTGGTCAAGCAGGGTAGCTCCCCAGAAATGCCAGGCCAGTTGCCTCCCCAGTGAAAGGTGAGTATGGGGCACCTTCTAACCCTAGCCCTACATCTCTGGTTGGTGAGATCAAGCAGGGGGAGCCCAGGCTCAGTGTGAGCCCTGAGGCAGGGCCCAGGTCGGTGGAGGGACCTGTGGTAGTGCCCAGTCTCACAGTGGAGCCTGAGGCCACATGAGGGAGCTGAGCGTTAGGCTCCAGAGAGGGGGACGGGGCTTGGAGCCCCAGTCCCTGAATGAGGGGCTTGGAGCCTGGTGTGAGGGGTTTGTAGGCCCAGAGTTGGAGCCTGAGGATGGGGATAGCTTGGAGCCTGAGGATTCAGCCAGGTTGGAGCCCTAGGATAGGGCTGGCTTGGATACTGGGGATGGGGCTTGGACCCTGAGGACAAGACTTAGAACCTGGAGATGGGGCTTGTAGGCCTAGAGATGGGGCAGGGAGCCTAGTGTGTGCTAAGGATGGATAGGGGCAAGTGAGGCCATGGGAATATGATGAGGCTGGGTGTTAGGTCAAGAAATATCTGCAAGGCATGAGACATGATAAGGGGATGGCCAGAGTCACGTACAGAGACCCTTGTCTGCCTCCTGCCTAATTAACATCAAGTAATCAGAACATCAAGGTGTGGCAGGTGAGACAGGCCAGTGGTTTGTCCAGAATCAAGTGGGCAGGCCTATATAGAAATTGGCCTCAGGATGCCCACTTGTTACACCCTTCCAGCTGTGTCTTTTTCACAATTCTAAATTAGGTGCTTCCCCATCTCTTTTTCCTTGAACCCCAACCATGTTTTCTCGACTCTAGGGTACTGTAAAGTAGGTATATAACTCAGTGGATCATTGTGCCCAACATCCAATCATTAATGATTGGATGGTGAGATGGAGATGGGCTTTTTCTGTGGCCATAGGAGGCAGGACTAGGAACAAGTAAGTCAAGTTTCAGCAGTGGAAATTTAGGTTGGAGATTAGGAAGAACTTTCTGACTATGACAATGGTCAAGTATTGGAACAGGGTACCTGCAGAGGTTGTATGGAATCTCCATCCCTGGAAATGTTCAAGATCAGGCTGGACAGATACTTGGCTGGGGAGTTTTAGTTAGGGATGATCCAGAGTGTTAAACAAGGGCTGCACAAGATGGAGTCTCTTCCAGCCTTCCAGCTGAGGTCCAAGGGGAGCACTGTGGGAAGCAGTTTGGAGAGTTACTCTGGGCGAGGTACTGCTTTTTCTCTGTCTGAGCTCTTGGCAACCTACTACTCTGAACCAGTGAAATGCTGCTAAGCAGCTGCACAGAAAGCTCTCTGCTTTTTGTTTAATTAGGTGAAAAGTGTCTTAGGAAGAAGTGCAAGTGCAGAAAAATGTTGTTTCCTAGTATTTTAGACTTTTGCACTACAATGACGCTGTTTTAGCATCACCAGTAATGGTAGCATTTCTCCATATACTTAGGTGGGGAGGACATTTTTATGACAGAAGAACAGAAAAAATATTATAATGCCATGAAAAAATTGGGATCCAAGAAACCCCAAAAACCCATCCCAAGGCCACTGGTAAGACCATCTGAGCTCCTCCCAATGAAAGATTTCTAATCAGTCTATATCTGTAATAAGAACTTAATGTGAATTAAAATTAAGGCCAGACAATGCTTATCTAGCATGATTTAGACCTGGGTGATCTTCTCTTGAATTGGATGAGCTCTCACGGTCACTTACATCTCTGTAAATTAAATTAAAAGTAAATGTAACTTTTGTTTGCTACTTGAAAGATTGCAAAATTAAATATTTATGGAGTTTTCTGGGAAAACATTATTGGCTTATATATTTACCTCAGAATCGACTGTCTTTCTGAATGGGAAATGAATGATTTTTTTTATATTCAGACTGTCCATTATATATCTGTCTATAATGGAATTAAATGTTGCAGTGTCAAGATTAAACCTTTCTTCTAGTAAATATGAACAAACATATTCACATCTACTTTTTCTAATTAATTCCTAATATTTTTCTTTCTTTTCTCAGAATAAATATCAAGGGTTCCTCTTTGACATTGTAACAAGTCAACCGTTTGATATTGCCATCATAACTCTTATCTGTCTTAACATGGTCACCATGATGGTGGAAACTGATGATCAAAGTACAACCAAGACGGCTGTTCTTAACAAAATCAATATACTCTTTGTTGCCATCTTTACCGGAGAATGCGTTGTGAAATTGTTGGCTCTGAGACAATACTATTTCATCAATGCCTGGAACATATTTGATTTAATTGTTGTGGTCATATCAATTGTAGGTAGGTAAAAATATACTGACACTCTCTTCACCATGCATAAGATAAAAAAGTTAGGTTGACCACAAACTGATGCCAAAAGAGAACTAGGATTCTGGGAATCAAATGTTTGAAAAACTGGTCAAAATTGTCCAAGACATACAGTGTCTGAGGGGAAAAAATAACCATGAATATATTCAAATAATATGGAACAAGGATTTATATTTTTCCTAACTGTTTTCACTTACCCTGTACTTCTCCATAGTCGTACTTATCTTTTTATGGTTTAAAAAGTTGTACAAATAATTAGATAATAGTAATATTTATATCTAAAGACTCAGATAAGATCATTCTGAGGAAGAAGTGTACTGATTTTATCATTAATCAGGAGATAATTAGGTATTTTAGGGAAGATATAAAACATTTTAAATTTGTTAACCTCTAGCTCTTTTTTTACAGACCTCAAGGATTACCTGATATTTGTTATCTAATCTAATCAATCAAATAGTTTTGACCAATATAGAAAAAAATTGCACAAATTTTAGGGGTTTTTTTTAAAGTGTGTGCCCTATACTTTGACTGTTAAAATTGAGTTGCTTAAAAGAGTCTAACTTAAAATAGAAAATGTAACTATGTCCTATGAGACTACTTGGGAATTTGTCACATCTACTTACTTGACATTTTATTTTAGAAGGCCTTAAATAAAAATAGCCTTTTCTTGTGTAACAAAACCCCTGGCTTCATCATGTATAGGATATTGAATTTTGCACCTCTGGATCCAAGTTAATAAATCTGTATTGTTAGAGCTATTTTGCCTTGTCTATAAGTGAACCCAATATCAGAATAATACACCCCTATTTGTGGTTTCAGGCCCCTAGAGTTGGGACTAAAAGCAGTGCTGTTTAGCATGAATTATGCCTGCATCTCTTATGTTGGCATGTCTTGCTCATATGGTCTTTATATGGTTAGTATCTAATCATTAGAGTGCCTGTAACTGGCATTACCATTTATTTCAGGTATCCTTGGTTTCTCCTTTCTTTTTGCACACCTAGGGCCAAATAAGATGCATGCAGTCCATGTTTTCTGAACATTTACTGATAAGCCATTTAACTTTTTAAAGACGCCTATTTTATTGCATCACTGCTAAGTCGTGGGCCTCTTCAGTTCAGAGACGTATCCGTTTTGCTGGTATTATTTCTTTCCATTGCTCAGTGAGAAAACTTGAGACATTCTAACTGGTTACTCATTTCTCTTTTTTAGCCACTCTGCTTTCTGACCTTGCTAAGCAATTCGAAAGTTACTTGTCACCTACGCTCTTCAGAGTCATTCGCTTGGCTCGGATCGGACGAATACTAAGACTCATCCGAGCTGCCAAAGGAATTAGAACTCTCCTTTTTGCCTTAATGATGTCACTTCCTGCTCTGTTCAACATTGGTCTCTTACTTTTTTTGGTCATGTTCATTTATGCCATTTTTGGCATGACTAACTTTGCCTATGTTAAGAGGGAGGCTGGAATTGATGAGATGTTCAACTTCCAAACCTTTGCTAACAGCATGCTTTGTCTCTTCCAAATCACAACATCAGCTGGCTGGGATGGGCTTCTCAGTCCTATTTTAAATACTGGACCACCAAATTGTAACCCAAAAATACAAGGCAAACTGGGAGAATGTGGAAAACCTGCTATAGGTATAATATATTTTGTAAGTTATCTCATTATATCATTTCTCATTGTGGTAAACATGTATATAGCTGTTATTTTAGAGAACTTCAATGCTGCCACTGAGGAAAGTACAAATCCTTTAGGTGAAGATGACTTTGATATGTTTTATGAAATTTGGGAGAAGTTTGATCCTGGAGCAACACAGTTTATTCCTTATGCCTCACTTTCAGACTTTGCAAATATTTTGGCAGAACCTTTACGCATACCAAAACCAAATCATCTTGAGCTCATAGCAATGGACCTTCCCATGGTCAGTGGAGATAGGATCCACTGCTTGGATATCTTGTTTGCTTTTACCAAACGAGTGTTAGGAGACTCTGGGGAGATGGATGCCCTTAAAGTACAGATGGAGGAAAAGTTTATGGCTGCCAACCCATCCAAGCTGTCATATGAGCCAATTACAAGTACGCTCAGACGCAAACAAGAGGAGATATCTGCTATTATTATCCAGAGGGCTTACAGGAGTCACTTGCTTCAACGTTCCTTGAAGCAGGCCTCTTTTTTATATCGTCGTAGAACCAGTGATGGTGACATCCTTGAAGAAGATGCTCCAGAGAAGGAAGGTCTCATTGCACTTATGATGAATGAAAATTATGATAGGATTGTAGACAAGTCTGCAAGTGTGTCCACAACCTCTTTCCCTCCGTCCTATGACAGTGTTACTGGAGCCAATAATGACAATCTCAAGGTACAGATGACAGATTCTTTCAAAAGTGATGACCCTGTAGATTGTGAACTGTCTGTGGACAGAGAAGAGGGATCCATTGTTTAATTTTTGTTAAGAATGCTTTAAAATATTGCGTACAGAATGTAATGCTGTAAATATAGAGCAATTTAAGCAGCTTCCTATTAAACATCAGTTGCAAACGAAATAATGGTGGTTTGCCATTAACTATAACATTTGACCCTGATATTCATCTTTGCTCAGTGTTTGCACATGTGCAGAATAAATCTGCTCAGGGTCACAGCAGTTATATCATTGTGAGGCTCAGACTATGGCAGAATCCTTGGTTTCTGGCTACCGTGATCCAGAAAGAACAATGATGAGTCAGTACTCTACTTCATGTCTGGTGACAGGACGTCCACTTAATTAGGCTGGTCTGCTTTATTCAGGAGCCAGTTCGAGGAGTAGAAGATAATCTCAGACTGTCTGGAACAAAGTATCTGTGTGGGGATGGGAATGGGCTGACTGGGAAAAGAGTATAAGGATTTGGGGACTTTTTGAAGGAAGGAAGGGGCTAATATGAATTGACATTTTGGTTATTAACCTGCTATATTAATGTTTCCCGGTATTTTAAGTCCTGTGACTCAAATATCGCAAGCATAGCCATTGCATGACCTGCTGATATGATAATCTGTACTGGAACTCCTCCAATAGAAAGCAGTCGCATAGAATAGTCATGGTGTATATACTATTGTGGTGGTATTATTGCGGTATAATGAAATAATAAATGCAACACTTAACACTCCAGCAACGGTCATGAATCGAGTAACATTTTTCATAACTGTGACCTGGTTTCTCTTGATCTTCACCCTGTTTTCCTTCTAAAGGCTTTTGCCCTTCTCAAGGCAGCCTGTGTTCATTAGCCAGGATTTCTCCACACAGATAGAGTCTCGGGCCTAGGTTCATTCTCTTCCTGCATACATGTAAATGCTTATTTGAGATACACAGGCTCACATGTTCAGTATGCAGTATCTTGCTTTTCAGTGACTGATTCGTTTTCCTTTGTTTCCCATTTTTAGGTAGTCATAGCCACAAGAGTGCTGCAGAGGCCCTCTTAATACTTCCATGATATTTGTTTCCATATAGGTTGATTTTATATGCAAGTCAGCTTTCAAGACAAGGTTAAAAAATTGCTAGATTTCTGGTTTCAAACTCTTCCACATATGTCCCAGCTGACCTCGGGCAAGTAACGTATTACTCTCTTGTTCCGCTGCCCCACTTTTGCCCTTCATATCTATTTAGATTGTGAATATTGGGGGGCAAGAATTTTCTCTTACTAGAAACATGTACAGTGCTTTGCACAATTTGACCTTTATTGCAATTTGAGGCACTATTTTAAAACAAATAATTGTATTTTAATGCTATTTAATCTTATTTCTTTTTGCTCTATTTCCCTATGATTCTCCTGGTCAATGGTGTCTCATGGTCAATTTTTTTCATTGAAACTTTTTTTCTCTCTCTTATTTGAAGCTAGATGCAGGGGGGAGGGCATATCTTGCATCAATGAGAATCACCATAGTTTCACTGAAGCTGGTGACGCTGAAGAAAAGGTACCATATTTACTTGAACAGAAGATGACCCCTGCCATCAATAATTAGATTCTATATATGGGAAAATGTATCAATTTGTTATAATTTTCCAGGTATAGATTCTAATTATTGGAGGTTTGCCTTGAATTTGTCCACTTCCCACTGCTAGAGAAGGAAAAGTAAATCTGAGGGATCAGATAGCTCTTTGCTGTTTGCCTTCCCCCAGCTTTTTTCCCTGGCAGTCCCTTCCTCCTCTCCCTACTGTCAGACCCTGGCTGTAGCAATTTGCATACAGGACCCATAGACTTTGCTCATCCAGAATTGATGCACATTATCTTTTTTTGAAATGGTTGCCAGTTTTAGCACAGGTGCTTCATAAACACACTTTTGAGCAGCACTTTGACACCTACTTATATCTAGTATAAATGAGGGCCAAGTCAGTTCCAAATGTCAAATTCACTTGGGTAAAGCCCAAGATCCAAGTTCCAAAATTTGACTGAGCAGAGCTCAATCCTCAAGTCTGTGAGGCTCTACCACCAGACAAGTATCCTCTCTCCCAGACCTATCAGTCTCGTGCTTTAGATACTCTTAGGAGGGTAAAATTCGATGCCAAGCAAGGCAAGAGAGGCATTCAAACTCTAAGATTTCTGGGCCTGGGGCTTGCATATAGGCTGCATAGGATGCCTGCCAAAAAAAACCAATCAAAGGTTCCTGTCAGCATATTTGCCCAATGTGGGTCATGTGTTTTATAGTCATGCTCAGTGTTGGCTGCATTTAATCAACTTCATAGCTGGTTTCCATTGCTAAGTACATGCTGCTTTTGGTAATAGACAGGGCACATCTACATGTGCTATTAATGTGCCTTAGGGTTTCTGCGCAAATAAGGTGCAGTAAGCTTTCCCCAGGCACACATCTACATGTGCGCCAGTTAGGAGCAAATTTGCTCCTGATGGGAGAAGTTCAGTGCAGGGCTGTTCCTGTCTTGGTCTGCCCCCTGACAGTAGGGTGCCAAGCAGGGAGAGCTGTCCTGCCTCCAGGACAGCTGCCTGCCGGCTCTGTGCCCCAATCTGTGTGAGGTGAGGGATAGAGAGCTGTAGAGTCTCCTGGAGAGCTGCCTGCCAGCCCCATGTCCTGATCTGCTTCCCACCCCCCACCCGGTGCAGATCAGGGTGCAGAGCTGCGAAGCAGCTGCCCGGGAGGTGGGACAGTTCCCCCACCCCCCGCTGCCTGAGCTAACCAGGCACAATTTGCTCCCAGTCAGCTGCCTACACGTGTGCTACTGTGAAGTACCTAATGTGGTTAATCTACAGGTACTAGCAAACCACGTATTAGGCTAATTTACTGCACAGTAATTGGTGTGCACATGTAGATGGTGATGCCTTACTGCACATTAGATTAGTGTAATGTGCAGTAAATCATCGCATATAGACACACCCATAAGATGCACCTGCATGAGTGGCTGACTGTGCAGTTGTTACTGCATAGTCATTTAGTACTTACTTACCCAGGTACTAAATGACTGCGCAGTCCCATCGCCACATGGGATTTTTTTCAGATGTTACTGCAGAATCAAAGAAATATGATATGCTGATTTATGCAAGTGGAGAATCTGACAAAATGACCTAATTAAGCATTTCCTTCTTATATACTATTCTTGAGATGAATTAAAACAAAAACCTACCTGGGACACAGGGGTGGCCCACATAAATTGAACCTGCAACCCTTGTTTTTGGGAATTGCCAATTACTGTCCACCCATACAGATGATACATCCCCACCTACAGATCAATCCTTATTCTGTAGATTTAAAACAGTGATTCTTAATCAAGAGACTATGGCTGTTGTAAGTTCCTTTTAAGTGTCACAGGGTACTGTGGAATATTAGCATAGTAAGGTCTGCAAACACTTATACGATTTACATGATAAACCCTGAGATTTCAAATATGAATCCACAGAGTCACAAACAGTCTGTTGTGCTCTTTCTGAGTACTTTACAGCAAAAGAATTGCTGTATTATTCTTCCATAGGCAAAAAATGAGGGCTGGCATTGTCTGAGGGGCGCTTTGAGTCTAACAAGGGGTGCCCTGAGTCTAAAAAGGTTGAGAATCACTGCTTTAAAATATTACTTATATTGGGGTGAAACTCATTAATACCTGCAAAGAATCCAAGCAACAGGTTTTAATGTGAAAGACTAAATCAAATATGAGAAAAGGGGTCATTCTTCAGCTACAGACAGGCCATGGAATTGCAGCGCAGTCCCTTCATGGACACAATGCCAGTATAAGGGCAGGAAAATTCACCACTAACCCTTGTCCAGGTATCTAGGGCTTGACCCAACTAACAAATTGGTTTGTATGGGTCTTACATGCTCCTGTATCTTGAAGAGACTATTAAAAGCATGTATTATGTGGGAAAGAAGCAATGCTATCACCACTACATTTAATAGTATGTGGCAGTGGATGGAAGGTTTAGTTTGGATTTTCAATGGTTTAAAAAGCCATACGGTTGTGTTGATGAGAACGTGTTTTGTGGGAAACATATTCAGCAACATGAGAATTTAACAAGGAAATTAGCATTTGCCTACCTATTCTCTACACAAATTAAGTAGTTAAAAATGTAATCAAAACCTGTCTATTTAATGGATACTCCTTTTGCGGTGAGAGCAATTCAGGCATCACAATGTAAGTTTTATGTCTCCTGCTCAGTGGCACTGCCAGTAAGGCATCAGGTGTGGGTCTTTTCTTTCCAAGATGTTTCCATTCGTGACCAGGTATCTAAGCCCTCGAAAAGTTAAGATACAACAAAATCTAGTATTCTCCTGGCCTTCAATACCCTGTATTGTTCATTTAGTAGTATTGTTCGTTTTCATTTTAGCAGCGGCTTGCTACGTGCTGTGTAGATGCTTCTTTTTGAATTCAAGCTAAGGGAAATATTCCTAAGCATTTTACTCGCATTAGAAATCTTTTCAGCCATTCTTTACATATGTTATTCAGTGTATGCTGTTAAGGTACCCTGATTGCATTTAAGATGTGAGTTCCTCAACTTATGTAACTCAGTGCTGGATTCAGTGAGGGTATGACAAGTTGTAGTATCTGAGAAAGGAGAAACATGTCTTTTTGTAGACTCTAATATCTCAAAAAGTCGTGTCCAACTGACCTCAAACTTACTTGAAAATATATAAAAATGGAAACAGACCCATTGAAACATAAATTTACATTCCCTGACAGTAGATTCAACCTGAAAAATATCAAAGCAAAGAGATTTTTTCTGAAGACATTGGAATTTTTGTACAGAAATGGAGGGGTGGCATATACATAATAGAAAGCTAGTCATTCATTAATTAAGCAACCAGGGTGATGTCATGGGGAAATTAATGGACTGCTGATTAGCTCTTATACCAATCACTTCACTAATGAATATTTTATTTTTCAAGATGCTGCAATACCAATGCAATTACAAACTGTACCTTATTCTTTCTCAAAGCTCAGACTGAGTTGACAATTGATCTCAATGTATAGGT